ACCTAATAATTGGAATTGTTAATATTAAACATTTTATTGCTTTGGAAAGCCCATAGGTGCTGCGCAAGCGGCTATGAAGAGTCTAGCGCTTTTATTTTTATTTAAAAAAAATTAAATCGGTAGTGTGGTGTGAGTTTTATAAACTATTTTTTTTAATACGCTATTATTTAGCCAGACGCTAGAATACAACGTGTTTATATTTATAGTCATTGTCAATTAAAATGTATGCAGTAAGCGTGATGTAGCGCAAGATATGGTCAAAAGTTAGCCAACGTTTATATCCAATTCAACAAATGGTAAAAACAATGTAATTTTTTTTAACGAATATAAAATGATGTTTATCGCTAACGCAAAGGCTGGGAAGAAATCAAAACGTTGAGTTATGTTAATTCCATTAAAAATTCGCGTTTTGCAAACAATTTTTTTTAAATATGTACCCTTTACAGTGATAATATTATAAGTACATAAACTTTTTTGCTATAGATTTTTTTAAAGGAAATAGTATATTAATAGCTCCATAAGGTTAGGTTGGAGGGGCCTGGGGGCACCACGATGCACGACAGCCACCGATGATTTGCGCGGCGCGATGTTTGCGAATGATCGAGCTTATTCGTCACGTTCCGCAAATCTACGAGCCGGAACGGTGTGAACTTCGAAATTATTACCCATAACTTGTGAATCACTGATAAAACCTGCTAAGAAAGACATAAAACAGTTTCTAAGATTAACTTCAAGAAGCTCAATTTATTTTTAAATTTGATCTAATCGGCCTTCTTTTGTTTTACCAAATACCAAATATACCAATACTCATACTTTTAGGCGTATAAAAAAGAAACTAATTTAATGTGTCAAACCTTCGGTAAGTAAAGAATTAACTGAACGTGTGTAAACCCATAGACAGAAAAGTCAGTAATTTTATTAAAAATAAAGGCAAGCTTTTTTTGTAATTTTCTCCATCAAATCTTTTGTTAAACAAAGACAACGCTTCTATTATATAAAGATGCCGAGTCTACTATAAATTCTCTTTACGACTTCGAAAACCGACTCGCATAATGTACCCATTTGATTTAAAGGTCATTTAGAATCAAGCACTCTTTCATTTCTCATTACCGTATAATATTACATGTCCTTAGAGAATTGAGAATGCCATGTGTGTTCTGCCATTTTCAATAAATCCCATAACAATGGTCATAGGCGCAGGCGCAGGCCACCATTAGAGGCGATTACGTCACGCATATTAAATGAGCCTTTCATCTCACCGACTATTGTGAGCTGACTTCCTTATGCACAATAGGCAAATGTAAGCGAAATAAAAAGTTGATAACCCACTAAGTATACGAACCTCGTAAGGTGGGGTTTTATTATCATTTGAAAAGTGACTTATGTGACAAATGTAAAAGGTTGCAGTAGTCTCAGGCAGAGGGCGTTCACAGTGAGTCTCCATCGCGTTCGGTCTTGAGCCTCACATTTCACCTCGCTCAAAGTCTTTCCGGCTCTCTTTGCCTCATCTGCAACTGTACGACGTCAGGGCGCGATTTCCTTGCTGATACCAATCAAGCGCCTGCTTGGGGATTGGAATCTCTTCGGAGTGTATGGCCTATCCATTTCCACTTGCGTCACCCTGATTTGCTAACTGTGCACCAATGAATTTGCATAGCGAAACCCCGAATTTTTTCTAGTGTATAGCAAGAGATTTACAAATTACCTTTCTAATATAAGCGCCAAAATTGTTGATGAAAACTAACGATATAAAACTATCTGTTAAAACATTGTTAATCTTAAAAGTATGAAATCCTCGGTGTCTTTAAAACAGTTCAAATTTCTTAACGCTTTTATCACTACCACATTGCACTATGCAGTATTGATAGTAGATGTTCTTCCTGTATACCGACGCGAGTTCAACCTCTTGCTTGGGTCTGGCAACCTCTACCACCCAAGCAGACTAACCATTATTATTTCAGTCTTCTAGTAAAAATTAAAAGCCAAGGGTGCTGTTGAAAAACAAATTAAAATTTCCATTGTCATGTTAAATGACTGTACAATAAAAACGGGAGCTTTTGTTTTCGCGTCGCGTAATATACGCACGAGAGCTTTTTGTCATAAATAAAATAAAACGCTGTATTTGTATCGAAAAACAATAGGCTTATTAATATTTTTGAAGGTTTTTTATATTTTAAGGTAAGATTGTTAAACAAGGATCCGTTCAGTTGATTCGTATATTGGTTTTGATTTCCTACAAAGCAAGGTTCTGGCGTGAAAATTATTAATTGATGTACCATAAATAATGCACTTTATATATGATTTTTTGTATTATCAATCAATCAGTGGCCCCTAAAACCTTTTTAGGTCTGGACCTTAGATTTCTGTATCTTTTTCATGATCATTTGTCAATCTAATAGGTAGGTAGGTGATCAGCCTCCTGTGCCTGATACGCCGTCGATTTTTAGGGTCTGCGGCAAGCCGGCTTCCTCACGATGTTTTCTTTCACCGCTCGAGCGAATGTTAAATGTGCACATAGATAAAAAGTCCATTGGTGCACAGCCGGGAATCGAACCTAAGACTTCAGGGATGAGATCGCACGCTGTAGCCACTAGGCCAACACTGGTCTGTATTATAGGAACTTAAAAATATTATGCTGATTTACAACTTAAGCGCTCTTATTAAATGATTTATATAAGCTATTTTTTTTAACCTGAACCTAAGACCTCAGCAATAAACTACTAAACCAATCTTACATGAGACATTTGAAATCGTAATTGGCACCTTAAGTGAGTTCAACTGTCTCTCAGAGTCGAACCCAGAACTTTAACGGACGGGTGTCGCCATCTACCGATAACAACAGTGATGTCGGCATGTCTGACCTTAAAGTTGTCCGTACACTTTATATTCTTTTTCCGTTTATATTAATTAACCTTTACATTTATAAATACTAAACTAATTTTATTAAGAGGATAACCTCTAGAGGTATAAGCATAAGCTTATACCTCTAAAACTAGCGAACGGACGTGAAATATGTATTACTTTGTCATAAACATTTGTTTCCCGTTACTACGCTAATAACTAGCCTAAGTTTAAATTTCACGAACAAATAATTATTTTTATATTAAAAAAATGAATTCAAACGTAGAACTGTCCAAAAATATACAAGAAAGCCAGAATAGAGGAAACTTATTTGAGAGGAAAAAGAGGAATATCACAAATGGTCGCATTGAAAATTATTCGTTTTCCTTTAAATATCTTTATACTATTGATATTATATAAGAGGTAAATTGTATTTAAATGTGCAAGAGAAAATATTATATTTTACATGTTTCACAAAGATAAAAACATATGATTTTTCCTAATATCAAATAAGATTTCCATTGTGAAAATAAAATACACAACCAGACTTGATAATTTATCTAAAAGATGGTCCAAAATACAAATGTTATAAAGCTTTTTGGTTATATTTGAAATTTTAGTTATGGAGTTTTTAGGTTTGAAACAATATTAATTACGTTATTTGAACAATTATGAACCACTAAGTTAAACCAAAAAAATAATCGTTTTTATTTATTGTATTTGTTATTGGCAAATCTTATTAGACGAAAAATTCGCAACGCATTCAAACCATGCGGGTCCAATCTTATAAATGTATTAAATCAAAAAGTGAAAAGTTTAATAGGCTTTCATGAAAACTTAATTCGCGTCCATGAAAAACCACTTTTAAATCCACAAAGCCTATTAAAATATAAACACGTTAGCATCGTTATCCAACTTTTCATTTAACAAACAAATCGATATAATCTATTCTGTCAGCGCCCACGCAATGTATGAAAACACGGCTATACAATGTATAGAAGCGGCGATTGTGAACATTAGCGGGATTGACAGGAACAAGCCGCTTGTTACCGCGCCCGCTACCAGATGCGTATCGTACCTTTGGGCTACTGTTTTCGTATCTTTGTATTTAGAACGCTGGATGAGTTTTACGTGTTAAAAGATTAGCTAATTCGCAATTCTATCTGTTTTAATTTGTTTCAATTTGCAATATTCACACAAAATAACTTGCTTTTCACAGAGCCTTTTAATATATTTAACTTGCTTTAGCAATGTAGGATCGTACTCATTGGTCTATGCTTATATATACGTAAATATTTGAATAGGTAGGAACATTGAAATGGGATTGTGTAGAAAAGAGTTCTATAAAAGTTACAGTCACAGAAATGCGTTATCAATATTCAGTTTTAATTAAACACTACTTAATTTAGTGTCAAAAATTAATTCAATCTAATAAAAAAGGTTAAGTTTTAATCCTTCGTATTGTGGTAATATCTTATAGAATCGTGTTGCGTAATTTGAATATTAAGATTAGATTTATAACAACATTTCAGATAACCAAAAGTGTATAATACATGGCAATAGAAAATAAATGACATGCAAATAGGCGATCTTTTCCAGGGAATATATATGCGCGAACAGTTCTCGGGGTGTAAATGGGTGCATAATAAGCATCCATTCAAAATCAAGGAGACATTCCGGTATAATGGGAGCTGCTACACATGTTTGTGTGTTCGTACGCCCCGGACATTTGTATGGCCGCGAATAATGATTTACTTATATCTATAGAATCGGTATCTTAAGTTTCGGGTGCGAAATTCGGAATTTGTATTGTTTGCAAAGTTTTCAGAATAATGAGAGCTGAATTTTAATATTGCGGCTTATCAGATTTTTATGAAGTCACGAATACTTGTTTATACATCTGAGCTATATACATACCTATGTATCGGTCAAAACCAATTAAATTTTTATGTCAAGTCACAAGAATATGCTAAAATTTGATTTTATTAAAATTGTAAAATGTAAATTTAACAGTTTACCATTAAAGTACACCAGCAATATTTGGGAAATCTTATATTAAATAAAAAATTACAATACGCATACTTCAACTAATTTTAAAATGTACTCTCTCCAATATATACTTTCCAACTACGAAAAGCATCAACTGGCAAGCCCTCATAATGGGCGATAAACATGCCGTTGCTACCCGAAGCCTACAGAAACTCTATCAAAACGTACAGAGCCAATTGTGGCCTCTCACTTTGTCCTGGGAATTTAGCACCTGTATACAAAATCACACGGCATTAACAAGTGGGAATAATTGGATTAAAGCGAGAATGGATCTCCTTAATTATAAATACTCTGTTATAATAGTAAGCTGTTGAATTTGCAGTTAACTCAGATATATTAAATTAATTTTAAAATTAATTTACTTCCATTTATGAATGTTTGTTTATCTTGCGTACATATATATAAAAGATTGCACATGTTAAACATAAAACCTTGAAGAACTTGTCTATTTTTGTTGATATATAAAATATAGATATATTTTTATTTTATATATACGATAATATACCGAGGTTTCAATATTGTAAACACCTGTTCGAGAATATTTTAATTAACCATGTCCAATCATTCTTTAAATACATTTTCTATACTTTTTTTGTCTGGTATCAAATGTTTTAATGAATTTTGTGTAGTTGTATTTTACCCAACATCCTTCATAAATATATTCGGTTAAAATCGATATTCTGCAATTACACTTGTTTGATTGCCTGATTGAATCAGTAGAAGTATTAAAAAAATGTAAAATTTGGAAATAATGGACCGAATAGATATTAAGCACAACTTTATAATACATATTTATAACTCTACGGTTAATAAATCGTGTTTTTAATTGCCATTGTCACTAATGAGCTGAGTTGGAATCTTATATCGACCATAATAATATAAACAATTCATAATATTTTATATCTTCTAGGAGTTAATTAGGCCTTTTATATCAGAAAAAAGTTTCGATAAATTGCTTATATAAAGAACAAAGACAACCTTAGTGGTGGATAACACAAACACTTTTTGTCTATGTTTATAAATTCTAAATTTGAATTTTAAGTTTGCTCTTTTTATAAAAAGAAACATTATTAGGCCTTAGTTAATACGAATTTTAGTTTTTTTTATAATTTTGTATGAAAATAACTTCGGTTATTTTGTGTTAGACTTTACTTTGTCGTCAAATAGTACTCTTATTATAAAATTCTAACCTTTTCATAAATTTTGCTACGGAATATTGATCGATTAGAAGGCAATCTAGGCGCTAAGCTGCGATTGTAAATATCGAGCAGTAAGTTTGGTATGCGTCGACGGTAGCCTATAGGCTTATTATATTACAATACTATTAGCATCGCTCGGATGTATCGCCTCTGTATCGAATGCCATCTGATCAGATAAAATCCACACCATTGTTTATGGACGGTGCTAATTTCTTTACGAATTTTTATTTTACACAAATTATTAAGCGATCTAAAAACTTGTCTGTGAAATATTTATAGCTATCATAAGGTAATCTGATCCTAAGCTTTGTTATTTCCTGTTTGAATACGAAGATATAAAAATTCTAAATCATTTCCCTTGATTTGAAAGTTTTTTTATCAAGCCTTTATTGCTGACACCCTGTATAATATATTAACACTTATTGAAGTAACATAATAAAACTTAATTCTAACACATAAATAAAACTTTATCTAATACATCTAATGACCCGTTTTAGGTAATCAGCGTGGCCTGTGACACATAGGCCTGTTCCAGCTGCTTCCATTCTTTTCTGATGTTAGTTCTTCTTGACCAAGTTGTGCCTCCTATTTATATCGTCTGCCCATCTCTTGCTCGGTCCTCTTTTCCTTTTTCTATCGCGTTGATTTGAAAGTAGTATAGTAATTCACATCGACGACTTCGTAGCTTAGAATCATTCATTTCCGTTTAGCTTTAAACAAGGAAATTTTCACACAATTTAGTGGGTTGAAAAATTCGTAGGCTGGCACATAGATGACGCTACTAGTCTAAATATATAACTTTTAGTTAGCTCTAACCTTCAGAAGACACGTGTATACATTTGTAATTTGATTGAAGGACCTTTGTTTAAAAAAAAAAGACAAAAAGGAATTGCGAAAAAAATACTATTGAAGCCAAGGCCTGACTGGGCAGTGGACGCCCCAAAGACTACAGATTATAACCACAAAATAATCTCGTATAATATAAACTGTGAGTAAACTACTGATACACAGTAGATAAGTTTAGTTCATATTGCTATACAAGGGAGGCCATATCTAATTCATTTGCGATGAGAAGTTAGTGAAATAAATTAGCCGAGACAATAATAGGCAGGCATTGTGACGTCACAGCTAGAAAGCGCACAGAACAACCGTGGATCCAAAACGGATCGCTACCGAATGGGTACCGTCGGAAAATCAACCCATTTAATAAGATTTAAGATCTTCAAATCCGGCTGCTCCGATAGCCTGTAGTTCTTCTGACGACGTTCATATGTGAGTTATTACTTACTAAAAAGTTATCCTAAGTAAAAATCATATTAAGGCGAAATGAAGTTCGCGGGAGCAGCTAATGTTACTTTATTTTTGTCACTAGATTTTTGTGTTATCAAACGCTTTCACAAAATCTGCTATCTTCCGTCCATCTATTGTTTTTTCATTATGATCTAGTTTGTATGCTATCGTTACTCAGCTATCAGATGGACAGAGGCGAGTGCGTTAGACGGTAGTTAGTTAGGCACAATTATTATTATTTAGTGCGGCTCACTGCGGCGGGACAAAGCCTACACCCACGCGTCTACGCACGCTAAGTATCTATGGATAAGCCATAGATAGTAGAAATATTTTAAAAATTTCACATTTTGGACCTGCATCCTAGTTAAGACACTATGCAGTCATACTATATGATATAGAATCATTCGACCAGTGTTTCCCAACCTCTTTTGTGCCATGCCCCACCTTAGGCTACCTAAAATTCATCCCCTTATGTATACATAATTTATATATTAAAAACTTGATTTGTTCACTTAAGAAATTTAAATTATAGGTTTTAGGAAGAAATCACTAGGAAATTGTTAACGAAACAATAAGTAAATATTCAAAACATAATGAAAAATTGGAATTCAAATTCCAAATAATTTTATCTTTATTAATTTATTTAGATCCTTGCGCTTGATGCTTGCTGTACAGAAATTTTATATTAGGTTCCAATTTGTTTAGCTTCAGTCTCAAGTCTCCGTTGTGTTATAATCAGCTGATTTCAATTTCCCCCCTTAACAATCAAATTGCTCCCTTGTGGGGCGTGGACCCACGTTGGGAAACACTGCTTTAGACTCTAAAAGGAATATGAATTACTAATGATAATATAATACGAAAAAAATTATATCCATTTCAAAAACTATGAGGCATCAGCTACTGTACTAGTATTAACAATTGTTGACGAATCTATCAGTACTCTAAGTACCTTTATATATTTAATTTGCAAAAATGCGTACGAATTATAAGGATTACAGCGAGATTTTGAGCCATCTCTTCCAGGCAACCCTAAACTTCCAATCGCAAGCCCGAAGTGTGTATGCAAGTTCGATGTACTAGTTCACTCAATATCCGTAGGTAGCGCTGATCTCACAAACTTGTATAGGTCGCAATTTCTATTGAGAGTTACAGAGTACCAATGCAGTTTAAAATTAGATAAGGAATATCCATACTTTGCTACTGTTATGTAAATCGTATTTAAGGAACTACTAATACATAGGTACCCATTTATAATTCTACTCTTAGATCTCTCTGCATCTTCTACCGCATTTACCATGGAGAATGTTCAGAGAAGTTGTTGGAATTAATACTGAGTCAGACGCGGACGTCGAGACAGAATACGAAATTCCACACGTACCACAACTGAGCGTTATTTAAGGTAGTTTTTGCCGCTCATCACCACTATGTGGAACCAGCTACCCACTAAAATATTTTCGAACCAATTCGACTTAGGGTCCTTCAAGGAAACAGTGTACAATTCTTAAAAAGCGGGCAATGCACTCGCAAGCCTTCGTGCATTGAGTGTCTATGGCCGTGGTACCCCTTAACATCAGATGAGCCTTCTCCCCATTCACCTCCTGATTTAATTTACTTTAATACAATTTAAAAAAAAAATTACTTTAATACAAAACATTCTTGTATGGATAACATTAATAATAGTAAGACTTGGCACTTGGCAATTGAATTGAAAGATTTATTGTTCTATTATCTGAATTTTTTATTTAAATTTAATTTTTTGAGTTTAAATTTAAATTTGGCAAGGTATATATGAATATAGGGAATATATTTAGATGTGATCCATTAAATAAATTGTCACATTTTCATTTCTATATAAATTATGGAAATTATAATAAACAAATTAAGAATTATTAGTATGATATTCTTAATACTGTATGGATATGTAATATTTCTAACATGTTAAAACTTATTTTTATGCAGCGAAGATATGGGGTCCTAATTAGCGGTCGCCGGTTCTTAATGTATGCGCGAATGCTGGTTTGCTTTTAATATGCAAATTTCATGAATCCTAATAAATCTGTGAAGCGTAAAGGTGTAGCAAACTACGTAAATAACACTGTATGACATATAATGTCGACGCCTTTTTACATTTTATACTCATAATGGAGCGACAAAAGGTTTCAATTTAACCAGGCGTAATTGCTACGACTGGTTGTTTCAATAGAGAGAGCATTTAACAGGTGTTATTTTGTACCTACATTTCGTAACAATTCCGTATTTTAATTATAGAAAACGGGCGTGAAACTTTTGACATTGCTATTGCAATAGCATATAATTTATGAGTCTTCGTAGTCCGGGAAAAGTCATAGTAAGCCGGTGGATGTTCATTGTTGATTAATTACACCTACAATGTATCTAGTTTGAAAAAAAAAATTAGCAATTTTCCTGCCCCATACTGAAAACACTACATGACTTCACATAAAAAATGCATTGATATTCATGGCTTAAATTTAATTAAAAAGTTGTATTTTATATATTTCAGTGTTATTAAATAGAAATTCGGTAGTGATCTAAGACGCTGACCTTATTACTGTGGTACAGTATTTCCCTCAAATAGTTTAGTTTCGGCCTTCCAAGAATGTTTTCGTGAATTTCTTGCTAGTATCGCGGCAGCAGAATTTTGGTTCATTATAATACTTTACCTGTGTGCCATTTACCAACCAGTCAAAAGCTTCACTAAAACCTTTAAGTATGGCAATACCAAATAGATATAATTCTTTGTAAAATTATTTTGCTATATAATAAAACCGAGCACATTTATTATATTATTATTATAACGAAAGGATCAAGACAAAATTTTTCGTCATTTGAGCATTTTGGTATTGAAATTTTAAATGATAATTGGTTTAAATATCTTTTTCAAAAACCTCAAAATTACTAAGAAAAATAAAGATATCTTATATGTGTGTCTATATATATTAGAGATACCTATATGTATATCTCTAAGTCTTTGACTGAATGAAATAAATATGTCTTCATTCAAAATTCTTTTTAATGATGATGAGCCCAATTCTTTGACAAACCAATTCTTTCGGAACGGTGAAGAAAAACATCGTGAGGAAACCGACATGTCTTGGACCCAAAAAGTCGACGGCGTGTGTCAGGCACTGGAGACTGATCACCTTAAAAATGATCATGAAACAGATTCAGAAATCTGAGGCCAAGCCCTAAAGAGGTTGTAGCGCCACTGATTTATTTTAATAAAAATGATAAGTAAAAGTATTTGAACATATAGTATTGTAGATTGTATTTATTGATACAGCACATTTAATGTTAATTGATCTAATCCTTATTGTTACAGGAAGAACCAGCGACTTCTGGCGATAGCGGGGATGAGAGCGGTAGCGAACCTGACTTTATGTACAATCCCCAACAGAACCACAAGGATTTTAATTGCGATAACGAATCAGTTTCAAATAAAAGGTATAACCCCAATCTTTACTTCATCTATCAAAGTAACTTTTACGAAAAAAATATGTTTTAAATGTAATTAATTAATAGACATTTTTAATGTCTCTGTAGGTTTTTTAGAAGTTATATCGACAACCCAATATGAATGGGATCAGTTCAAACATATTCTCCATTTATACATCAGTCGAATACGATGATTATATTTTCTTTACAGTCAATCAAATAAATAATATTGGTTTGGATGTGTTTCTTAAAATATACACGGATAAATTAAACACATCTATAAAAAGTTAATTAAAAAAAATATATGAAAATCTTGTAAAATACATTTTCAGGGAATCCGAAAACCAGCCGTCTACATCATCAGCAAACCAGGAGGAAAGCAAGTCAAGTCAACCGTCACTACCCAGACTACTCCCAAAGATAGATCTACCAGGTGGTGCCATGTTGTACCCCTCAGGGGTCCTAGCTGGCCTGGAAGGTTTGGGGACCAACTTGGGACTTGGAAATTTGGCTATGGGATATCCGCCTAGCTTTATTTTAGGTTTAGCTAATCAAGGGCAAGAAAATGGTTAGTAGACTAGACCAAACAGATAAGTAATGTCTGTAAATATAAATATAAAAGTGTATTAGTACACTAATATCTTATCGAATCTCGATATAGTTTATATTAATAAAATCATTCAAATTAAAATAATTTATTAAATATTCTTTATTTAGTAGAGTTCTATGACAACTTTTGTATCTAATTCGACACTTTTGACATGTCATGGGATAATATTTTACATACAAAATAGGTATTACTAGTTTAATAAATATTTTTAATAGGTATCAATTAACTGATGACAAGTATTTTCCTTTGATACTTATATTATTTTATAATTAAGCGATCGTTAACTAATTTACGTGTGTTTTAGCATCATCATCCAACCAGCCACAGTTCATCACGATACCACTTTCGATGGCAGTAGCAGCTGGTGCAGGCGCTCCGAACGGCGCCGGCGCATCTAGCGACGACAGCAGTGAACTACAGGATCTTAGTACGGGCATACGGAAATGATTGTAAGCTTCACTTATTAAGTTTCTCATGTAAAAAAATATAAAATATTTAATGAGAAATAAAGTTCTTTAAACATTATGAGTTCTCTCATAAAAAATATAACTAAAAATACACACTAAAACTGTATTGTTATTTTTACATACGTTTGACAAATTGAACAATTCAGTAAATAATTAAAAAATATCACATCAAACACGTGTATTTATACCTTTTTTGTTTCAGATAGTCCCGAGAAGATTTCATAATATCCTCTTAACCAATAACGTATATAATGTACCAAAGTACTCGTAGATACGATTAAGTTCCTTAAAGCTCATTATTTTGAAGGTGTGCATTCATTTATAATCCATATAGATTGTGTTACAAGAATTACGTAATTACCAAATATTGCTGTTTATTCGTTATATCAAATACTCATGAACGTACTTCAAACCTTTTGTATCACTTTGCAATTAAATAAATGAGACAACACTTTGATTCAAATACGTTTTTAAATAGACATAATAATTTATAAATAATTAAACTGTTTAATGATATTGACAAAAATTGAGATATTTGTGTTATATATAATTTAATTCCTATAATTTTCTTATTCGTTATTGATATTTTCCTCGGTTATATATGTTTGTTTTCATTTAATGAGATAGAATGTCACGTTTATTCAATATATACTTCCCTATTTTGTATGCGGAAACACAGCGTCCAACTTCATGGCCCGTGATCCGTCAAGCATATTTAATTAAATAAAAATTGTTTTCAATAATACACTTGTTTTGCGTGTACAGCCTAGAGTAAGCCCGATAGGATAACAGTTTTTGATATGTATCCAGGATGTAATTAATATTAGCGGTACAAGGACACTCGCCGTGAATTTGGCGTCACCTTTGTATAGTACGCCTTATGATTAGTATAAGTGTTAACTATTTTCAGAAATACGTGTATTTTTGTACTAAACTGTGTAAAATTTGTTGTCCTCTTATTTATCACCACGCCTTGTATTCTGTTCGTATCCCACGTATATTTATCCGTCGATTTAAGTGAATCAATCTAATGTAATACAATCTAGTGTAAAACAAGCGAAATATACATACTTAATTAGTGTCGAGCATAAGCTTCTTTACGTTTTTGACAGTTTTCTATTGCCTATGAGTAATGACAGCTACCATAAAGTTAGAGACATCGAGAACACACTAACACAAGCTATACTTAAATAAAAAGTTAACGTAATAGAAAAAGATTCGATATTCAAAAGCATCACTTCAAACTACTATAGAATTGTATTCGTAAATACTATACATATATAGTAATATACTACGCGTATATACCACACACATTAGTAATGTTGCTGGTATATTAAGTATTCGAAAACTTGAACCGAATATTTGAAACTGTAGCAAAGTTAGCTAAAGGTATAATAGAACTCGAATCTATCGAACAAAAATACAAAAAGTAAAGTGGCTATGTTCGACACAATTCTTATTTTTCAGTTTTATAGTCCCATGTTTAGGTTCTTAAGTTGCAAAGCATTTATTATTTAATTTTGTGTCCCTTGCATGAATTTTAACAAATGTTGATATTGTATGTAAAATGTCGACTTGATTTAATTGTATTACTTAATTAGTTTTATTTTAGGCGGGAAATTCGTAGACTAAGAACGGTCGAGTTTGGTTTGTGTATTAAATGTTCCTTTTCACTTAATAAAAGTTATAAAATATTTGTGGTTTTTTTTCAATGAACCCAAAGCGTTGACAGAACTTATAGTCAAATTTAATTTTACGTAAGTAAGGAGTCAGCAGTTTGTTTTTTTTACTTTTGCTAGTTAAATGCTCGAAGTCCCCATTACATCAGTACAGTATCGCTATATTTATTTAGTAGCTTTTACGTCGTATTTATTTGAAGTTATACTTCTTTAGGCGCGTTATGAAAAATTGATAAGAGTGAAATTTTACGAGGCGCGTTCACCGTGACACAAAATTAACAGAATGAAGTTGCCCACTAAATCGCTCATTAAGTTGAGGAAAAAATGCTACCAACAAGGCGCATGTTGGCAACGCGCGCCGCCTCTGTTCACTGTGTATTTATATTTATATATTATAATATTTATGCACATGCTTTGAGTTTCTACATTTAATTTTTATTTAATTTTTCAAATGTAAACTGAACTTTGTATATTATGAATTCCATCTTTGGCTATATCTTTAGTATATGTTTTTTTGTAATATTATTTATTTTAAGTTAGCTAAAATAATAGCTATTAATGTGTCTCTTATTACTGATAGAAGCTTATATTTTTTTAAGAAAACAAAGCTCAACGCAGGCACAACGAACATTGGTAACCGTAATTTTTAATAAGAACATATTCACAAAAAAGTTATGGGAAAAAATATTTACACGATCCATTTCTCTTAATTAATATAAGAATAGCTAACTGAACTTAATATTTTTTTAATGCATTTCTGAGAGTTCGTTGGAAAATCGATAATCTATAAATTCCTTTGTATTTATTCTTTTGTGCAATGTTTTTAGTTTATAATAAATAATTATGAACTTTCTTTATAGTTATGATATTTAATTGGATTATTACCCTTTAGTTCCCAGTTCGCTTCGGTATAACGATAAACTGTGCTTTGAGACTTAAACAAAAAACTAATTTAAAGTATATAAATTATAAATACATCGAAATGCGCCATAATATAGAGGTATATTCCACAGAGTACACGTCTAAACGCCAATAGATTTATTAGTCTATATTCTTAATTAAATGTTCTCTAGTACAGATTACGACCATTTTAAATGTATAAAGTGGTTTTAATTAAAAAACGGACCATTTCGTTTCATTAGCTAGCTCCATCAATATTCAGTTTTAATAAAAGCTGACGTCTACAAATGACTTTGAGCGTCTATATTACAAATACATTTTCTTATTTGCATTGAAACAAGTTCTATTTTGTATACGTTGACAAATTGTCAATTTAAAAATGTATTGAGAGCATTTGTTCAATTTTTGGTATTTTTTGCAAAATAAAGTAAGAAAGAAATTCAAAATAACATACCGGATTAATATAGTATTTGATAATTTAGTAATTTTTGAGATTGCTTAATGCATATGTGATAATAATAATAAAGATATTTTGCCAAGGCTTTGACAATATCGATTTTTTAATGCCATAATGCTGGCCGTTGATGGAAGACAAAATTTGGAATAAGAAAAAGATGAAACAATCGTCAATTGTTTTTCAAGAAGCTTTTGTTTTTGAATTTCCTATACTATTTAAACAGTAGCTAAGTTATATACGGGTTATATTTAACCAACAACTCAGTTGTATCACCTCACACTTTTTAAAGGTGAACTCATTCGCAAGCCAATTCTTCAAAGTCTAAATATTTCAAATTTCAATCATATTCATTTGCTCATTAAACCAGTAATGATACTTATTACCATGTTAAGCCCAGTATATGTTAATCTAATTCCTAGGATTCCTAATGCAGATATCCTTGCGACATTTCGATGACTCATTTACCATCATGGTTGCTAGTTTTAGTACCTATATTATTATTTACAATATTACCACCCTACCGGGAAGACTTAGTTCGGCTGCTTTTGCGAGAAAAAAGATTAGGTTATTATCTTTTATTGAAATGGCGAGGCTTGTTACATATTTCAGTTACTTCCATAGTGTTATGACATATGGTATGATGTTGTGGGGCTCAGTGGCCAATATTCAAGATATTTTTGTATTACAAAAAAGAGCAATACGCGCTATATATAAATTAAAACCGCGTGTCTCGCAAAGAGAATTATTTAAAGAAATCAGTATTTTAACAATTGCCTCCCAATATGTGTATGAAAATTTTATGTACGTTTATAAAAACATAAATACATTTCTAAAGCACAGTGACGGTCACAATTTAAAGACAAGAAGTAGGAATAAACTTGCTTTTGCAGCTTTCAGACTTCATAAAACTGCTCAGTCAATTATCGGGAATACAAAAAAAAAACAAAATAAAATACAAAAAAAAATTAAAATTAAAATTTTTGAATCTATACATATATATAACAAAATTCCAGATCATAACCAAACTTCCGTGACTTTTAAACTTTACAAACGAATTGAAAAGATTACACAGTTCAAGAATGGAAAAAAAAAAATTTGGGGGACCCCCCCCCCCCAAAAAAAGGGGGGGGGGAAAAAATTTTAAAAAAAAAATAAAAAAATTTTACCTATATGAATAAATGACTTTTGAATTGAATTAAATTTGAATGATTGCCCTTGTTTAATTTTTATATACATATTCCTATAATTTCCCAGAGCGTTTGGGGTTATAATAATGAAGAAGAACGCTAAAGCAATAATATATTATATCTTTGATCAATATACAAGTGAAGGCGCGCGTTCAGACCTTTTAGCTAATATCCTGATAACCAATATTCTATAAGACCTTTTAGCAGCTCATCTGAATCAACCAATACGTTACAGAACTACGTACTACGTAAAATTCAACATAAGAAAATCTGTGTCGCCGCAACTAGCTAGTTCTAGGAAATATTCGGAATGAGTTTTCATCAAATTTTCCGGTGCTTAGAGTATTGTAAAACGTGATTAACAATTCAGTGAATAGCATACATAAATATTTGCTAACGATCATTCTATGGACGCATTATTTTAATAACCTGTGCCATAATTGGGCGCGAACGTCATATGGTAGGGTTACCATGACTACGAGCACATAGTGGCGTTGCAACCCCTAATGTCTTGCCAATACAGAGGATGTATTTCACTGATATTCTTTTTATGCAAAAATAGGTTATCATGTCTATATAGACATATTACCTATAGACCTTACGTTGGGTTTAACAATGAACCCGGAATCGAATAGGATGCTGAAGACGATTTTTGCACTGCAATATACGCTTCAAGGCTGCTAAAATTTCCTAACACCTGTGCACCTGTGCGTCCGGATATATAATTGTATAAATAACTTTTGTGGAAATATATATT